GGGGGTCCGTCAGGCCGCGCCGACGCTTTGCAAAGCCGCGTTTACCCCCAGAGGGACGCGCCCAACGCCCGCCCGGGGAGGCCAACGGGCACAGCGCCCCGCCAGCCCCGGAGCCCCACTGCCGGACGTCAAACGACACTCGCGGCAACGTTAGGCTTGGCTCAGGAACGATGTTCCCGGTCTGTGCCGAAGCCAAAGGCCCCCCGTGGACAGCCCGGAGCGTTAGACCTTGCCGAGGGCACAGCACCAACCGGGCAAGCAAAGGCAAGGTCCGTGGGTCCTCGGCTGAACTGCCCCCAGCCCAACACTAAAATCACACCCCGAGATCAAGGTGACCCTTGCCCCGGTGAAGACCCTTCCCCTGAGCCTGCACAGTACTGTGACTATTGTGTCAGCAGTACTACTGTACATAAATTACTAACCAATCATCATCAGAGAGGATGGACTTGGAAAATTACTAACTCTGCAAGTTTAGTCTATAAATACAGCGCAGAGTCCCAGTGGTGGGCTTGGTCTGCAGGAAACCACCACGCACCCGGGCTCGCACAATGCTGAAGTGAAGGAGCGGTGTCTGAGCCTGTGATTGTTGACCTAGGGCACAGCAGGTGATGAAGCTGCTTTTCGGACACCACCACCGAGGCCGGATTTAAATGCATAAAACTCCGGAGCAAGGGACAGCTCCAATGGCCCAGCTCATCACTGGTGCTGTAAGAGCTGGGCCAAACCCCGCCTCGGGGAGGACTCGAGCAGAACAGAGCTTCAGAAGCCATTAACACCCCTCCCCACCTGCTCGGCTCCCTGTTTGCAGTGGTCACACATAAAGGACCAGAAAAGGGGAAGGGGTAAATGAGAACTGAAAGAATGGAAATTTAAAATCAAAGTAAAAAAAAAGCAAACTGCAAGAGTCACCACAGCAGCTGCAGTATCTGAAGCTTCATTTATCCTTTACAGTTAATTAGCTCTGATCACGGTGGCGTGGTCTCCTTGTTTTAAAGACTCTGCCCTTGTAACAGAAGAACAGAAGTACTTATTATTAAATGCTCTTTATTTTTATCTACATCCCATTACTGCATAAAGATCACATCTTTTTAAATATAATAAAGCTATCAAATGGGTAAGCCTCATCACCTTCCCTCCTCACACCCAAACAAGGAAAAGATAAACCAACAGGGTACTTCTGCTTTTTTAGGCAATATACTTTGAGAACATCACCACATTTCTGGTTTGAGCAGCAGCAGAACTGGCCGATGTGATATTCATTACTTGGTTACTGTTTCACATGTGCACAAATCTTTAGGAAAGCTTCTTAAAAGGCAAGTATGCAGCAGATCTGTGGACTTTTGCATCCTCAGTCATTTGCTGAAACATTTTATTGTGTTCAAGTTAATACAAATTATATTTTGCATGAACATTGTGTTAAACACTGCACTGGGCTTCCATGAAGTTTTAAAGACCCAGTTCTAAGTCTTCCAGTTCCTGAAGGAGAGCAGTTTCTTTCTGAATCTTCTCCAACTAGAATAAAAAAAACACAAGATGTCACAGATGTAGTTTATTATTGAGACTTGAATAAACCGCATACATCTTAACAGTACCTGATTTTTCTCTAGCTGTTTGCCAGCAGCTGCTTGTTCTTTCAGCTGTTCAATTGCCTTTAGTTTCTGTAAAAAAAAAAATCAAAACAGCAAAAAAACACACTAACACAAAGGTACTGGTGAACCAATAATAGAAAACAGCCTTCGAAGTTCCTGCACATGCAAGTGCCTGGTTTACCAGGAGGCAGGTCTCAATATGGAAGGCATGTTTCATTTAAGCATCTCCAGATGCTCAATCCAGAGTTTCCCACCAATAAAAGACATTTCTTTCAAGAACAAAACCTAGAGAACAGAAACACTGCTTAGTCTCTGAAACATAAACACCATGTGTTATCTCACTGAAGAGCTAGACTCAAATTCAGAAATTACTCCCCTGCTATCATTACCCCTTCTCCACCACACATTTTCCTCAGAAAGCCTGGAATATTAATCCAAACAGACCATGAAAAGCAGGAGGCAGCCAAGAGAAAGAAGCTCTGATGGATTATGCAGGAACAGGAAAGATTCTCTAGCCTGAGCCAAACAACTTCCATTCTGAAAGTATCTAATGCAAGAATTTCCAGGATTTCCAAGACTTCACACCCATGTCATTTAGAAGCGAGGGAAGAAACCAAAACCACATGGCAAGTTCCCTTCTCAGATCCCAGACGCAGCCCGCAGAGCTGCTTTCCAAGCAGGAACACGGGTACCCCGCGAGGCCCGGGCGGGCAGCAGGGGCTGGGCACTGCCTCCCAGTCCGGCAGCGCTCCCTGCACGCCATGGCCACTGCTCTCCCACAAGATGGAACAGGAACTTGGGTCACAAACGCAGGAAATTACCATCTATGTAAACGTCCTCCTGAGCTCTTGTCACCTTACGATCAGACCAGATCATACAGACCATCTCTTAGAGGAATCTGCTGTCTGTAAGGGGAAAAAAAAAAGTCCCCCCACCTTTTTTAAATTCTTTATCTTCTTGTCAACTTCAGGGTCCCCTGATGTAACAGCAGGCACAGCGCTCCGGGGCGCCCCCTGCGATGCCGGGGACTGCGTGGACTCCCGGTTCCCATCAGCTTTGGCCTCCTGTAGGCAGATAAACACATTATCTAGGAAACACGTTTGATTACAAAGGGACTGAGAAATGTCTTTCATCATTTTAAGGGATCCATTTAATATTTCTCCTTGAACTAGTTTGCTGGTGTGCTCCACAATCTGTGACTTGCTTAGATGTACTGCATTACCTCTATACATATATACACATACATGCTTTCCACAAAAAAAGGGTTACCTGTAACAACTCATGTGATGTTTCTTGTTTAATTTCTACTTCCTCAAGACACCAACCACACATTGCACAGGGAAACATCAGTAGGGATGACATGACAAACACATACACAAATATTTTATAAAGTTGACTGCTGGGTCATTCTCTCTGAAGTAGAAGAAAGGGCTCAAACCCAGTGTAAGAAATTAAAAGACACTATTTAAAGAAATTATTGCTTCAGAAGTTTGTAGAAATTGGAAGGCTAATACCAAAAGCTGGCTTTTATCTCCCTGGCTGAAGGACAGCACAAAGAGGTGACACGAGCAGGCTGTCTCTGCTCTGCCCTGGTGCCGTGCCTCAGCCCTGGCCTGCCGGGGACACGCGCCGAAGCGGCAAGTCCGCTCTTACCTCTAACCTAACATGGAAAAAAACCTCTGCAGACTGACTGAAGGTGAAGAGTCAGAATTACTTAGTCTTAACATTGATTTCAGCCCACATTCACAGCAACTAACCAAAGCTGCTATTTGTAAGCCATCCTTCTGTACCTGCTCTAGTCCGACGGGAACCTCTCCCACCCTGTGTGCAGCTCAGCACGTGCAGCCGCCCGGAGGGGGCTCAGGGCAGGTAATGGTCACTGCCCAGACAGAGCAGCGCCCTTTGTGAGAGCTAATTATCCTTGAAATAACTTCTGCAGTACCTGTTTAGCAGCTTTCTTTGCTTCGTGTTTCCTTTGATTTTTGAGAGCCGTTTTAGAGAGCGGCTTATCACTGCTTCCCGACTGCGGTTTCATGTTCTGAGGTGGCTCGTCCTCATGCTGCAGGATATGCAAAATCATGTTACGAAATCCGTATTCCATGTTGGCAAGCACGTGGGTACAAAAAAACCCAGCACTTGAACCTACTTAAGGGAACACCATATGCAAAGACAAACCATGAAGGAAAAGAAAGGGAAAAAAAACCTCCAAGCACGTGCCCTTTCTCTTTCGAGTAGAAGACAGTGTGAAAAGGGTTTCAAACCCATCCATTCTCAAGTTTGGATGGAACTTTCCTGTATATGTCCTAAAGATTTCATGGATTTCTGATAGAAAACATAATGATTTTGTTAATTTCAGGCAGGACATAAATCAAAGAGGAATAAACCAGCACAAAATGGCTGAAGCTTGGCACTTTGCTTTTGTTACAACTTTTTAACTCAAACTCCCAGTGACGAGAAGGGAAAAATGGGTTGCTGGGAGGGGAGAGATGGGGGGGCGGGACTTCTTGAAGGAGAGATAAAGAGGGGGGATTGTATAGTCTTTTGGTTTAAGATAAGCCTTAATTGAGGGGCTGGGTTGTTTTAATGCGTATGACAAGACTTCTTCCCCATGTAAGTAAAACATAATTATTTTAACCTATCTTTTCTCTACTACCTCTGCTTTGTGATCATTTACAAAATCAGACGTTAGCATGATTGATTCCTCACAAGCCAAGCAGCAGTCCTTTCCTTCCAAAGCACCAGGCTCAAAATCAAAGGGCTCTGAGACTCAAACATCAAAGGTGCAACTGTTAAATGTAATTAGTTGCTACTCAGCCTACTTTGAAAACTTGCAGAAAAGAAACTAATTAGACAAGTAGGTCACTGTACTGAAACCTATTTAAACTGCAGCTGACTTGCTAACAATCAAATCTCTTTCCAGCAAGTAAACTTACCTAAAAAAAAGCTATTGGGAGGACAGGCAACCACCTGTCTATCTGGGTTTAGACTGGTAAGTCAGGTCAGCCAAATCAGAGGCTTCTATCTTAACTGGAGTATCCAATTTCACCATAAACCAAATTTGCAGTTTATTGTTCAGGTGCATGTTGTAGAGAGTTTTTAAAATTTGCAAAATGACTTTGTAAAAGAAGAGTATTTGGACCAAAGTAATGTCAGTTTTCAACAGAGGTTCTCACAAACAGCGAGCAAAGAGTCAAAGAGGATTATCGAGAAACCTCCCAAAAACCCCACAACACTACTGCCAGTCTGACTACTCTCCTAGTGTTCCTCATTAAAAATATACATGTATTTGAGGCCAAGCTTCGAAGACAGGACAAGCAATGAAACAGAACAATTTAGTTTGTGTATGGAACTCTACTCACAAGCTTGGAACTCGTCACAGGTTTGTTTCTCAGGGCTGGAGGTCTGTACGCCTGCGCAGGCTTCGGCTCAGCGCCGGGCAGCTCGCTCGGAACCGCCTGGTACTTCACTGCTTTCGCTGGGAACACTCCATCCAAGCAGGGCTGCCAGGAAACCTGCCACATCTCCTCGGTCGATGGCACCTCGTGGCTGTGCAGCAGAGAGCCCGTGTAGTGCCAGATCTTGTAGCCGTTGCTGACGCGGAGCCGGGGCGCGCACGTGGCGGTTACAATGTGCTCCCCGTCAGGACACCAAGCAAAGTATGTGGAATCCGAGGCTACTGGTTTGGAAATGAGTTTGTAGTTTTTAACGTCCCACACTTCCATCTGTCCCCTGAGATTTCCAAATCCTGCCAGCACTAGGATGTGTCCATGGGGGCTGTAGTAGGCAGCATTGCGAGGACCGGTTCCAAAATCAAACACGGGGTCACATTTCAGGTTAAAAACTGTTGCTTTGGCAGGCATGAAACCATACACAGCACAGAACTCGACAGAATTGGGGTTCCAAACGACATCATAAATAGGGCCATTTTTTGCTAAAAGGAAAAGGAAAATATGCAGCTGTTGTTCAGAGACTGTATCTTTTCAGTGCAAGCAAAAATAAAATAAATAGCAATTCTTAACTTCATGCTTTGCTAAAATGCTGTGATCTAATTACTGACAGTGAAAATGAATTCTGCTAACAATTGAGGTAGGAACATTTTATCTTCTGATAATTTCAGTTAAGGTTTGCAACAATAACTGCAGCCATTCCAAATTACCTCTGTAGGGTCACCATCAGCACTTTAACAGTAAGCATGTTTTTTCCTGTTAAAAAATTCCTTTTTTTTCCTCGTTATTCAAGTATGATCTCTCAGGACCTTCTGTCCCACTGGAAACCTGCAAAAACAGGAGTTTTATACCAGCTGGATACTAGTTCCTCTTTTTAAAATCCAAGAAATATGGCATAGCTCAGCTTTGTAGAGCTAAGAGACACTGATCTAAGTTATCTTTGGACTGTGCTCACACACAGTATTTTGCAAGACAGATTTTAGAGTCAGAGAGCACACAAAAATGGTTTTACTCATAATGATTAAAGCTTGAGATTGTTAAAAGCTATTCTGGGGGTTAAAACATTAGGAGATATTGAAGAATGATGAATTAGTGATGGAAACTCATGTAAAACACACGGGGGTAAATAAAAAACATGTGTCATTGTAATTTTACATAATCTGGGCATCTTTACCTGTATCTCAGATAAATGCCAAGTGCATTACTGACAATTCTTACACCCAGATGTTACCCAAAGTATCAGAGGGGTTTGAATTGTTCATTCCTGTTGTTACTCTAAAGCCTCATTATCTTTAGAAACTAGGCTGTGCAGTCACAGTGTTGGTGTTTCTTCCCCTTTAGAACTTTTTAGGTGACATTAACCAAACACAATTGCAGAGACAGAGCTCTGAGGAGATGTCTCCTCACGTTTCAAGACAGCGTGCAGCTGGAGGATGAGGGCAGATACACAGGGACTTCACAGCTGAGGAAAAGGCTGCGGCATGAGCATGCAGTAGTCAAACCCAAAACCCTCTGCAAATGCTAGTGTGAAAAAAGCTCCAAAACTGACCTCAAAAGTAAGCAGAAGACTGTTTTTTGTTGGAAAAAACAGTTTTACAAAACATGCATGAGGGTTTTTTCTATGCCGAGTTAAATGAAGATTAATGGTAAACTGCCTGCGGAAGATCAAGGCATTGGGAATAAACAGGCTCAAGGGAAAGAAGGTTTTACTAAGCATGCAATTCAACAACTCGTGTTCTCAGTGCAGGACACTGCTCCCAGAGAGGTGCTAGATACTGAGTCACAATCCTGACTGGTTTTCCCTGAGGGAAGTGGGACTCGGTACTCGCTGCAGCAGGCGAACGGGAGACACTCTCCTGGTCAGCACTAGCGCTGAAGAGAACATATTCCCCATCTCTACAGTCACTTAAGCATGAAGAGTTTGCATCACCCCACCCTCAGTGCTCTGAAATATTCACAACAAACCAGCCTCTCTATGATCCCAAACAAACAGTGACAACTCAAGGTAATGAAAAATCCACCCTGGGGAAATTAATGAATGGACTTCCAGCTCAAACGAGACACTGAAATTAAGAGCAGCCACTTGCTTCTCCTCAACATGTCGTTTTTGTATTAGAACACTTTCCAGTTTACAATACAAAATAAAGGACTTCTGTTTTCCAACATACTTCAAAAAACAGCTCTCACTCTGCATTGGCTCCTCGAGTACCAGCACCAACTGCATGGCCAAAAGTGCAGGCAGGGCAGTGCTGCGGGGTAACACACCTTCCTGCCCACCAGGGCTTCTCAGGCACGAACTGTCCAGGTGTTTCCTTAGTAAATATGCACCGTTCCCTTCCTGTGCACATGAACGCTCTCCCAAGCACATTATTTGTATATTTTAACTGAAAGTGTGTGCTTTTCTGCCACTGACATTGACAAGTCTACCAAAGATGACAAGGTAATTCAGCTATCAAAAAAAATTTTTAAATCACCTTACTCTAGATTAAAAAAAAAAATCCTGTGAAGAATTTTTTGTAAAAATTACATTATTTTTTCTTTTAAAGATTAGTTGATTACACTAACCAAACCCCACCCCACCCCAACACATTAAACAAAAGCTGGTAAAACAGCAATTCCCACTGTCAAGAGCTGTCATACAAGGAGAAAACGCCCGAGAGCTACTCACGTAACTGCACGACCGCGCTCTCCCCGTTCGTTGCGATGTAGTGCAGTGTCTGCTCTCCATAGTACGAAGCCCCCGTTTTATCGACTTCTGTACTAGCTATTACTAGGACAGCAGTGGCTAACAGAACAGACATACAGTTATTTCTGTACAGTTATTGCAAACTATATAAACTATTTCACAAACTACCATGAACAAAGAGAAATTAGTTTGATCATGCAAGCAACTAACTAGAATTCATAACAGTGCTGTTTTCATTCTCTTCTGAATTTACCTAAATGTTAACCCAAATGGAATTATCTTCCTTTCTCAGATTAAAAGTGTAAACTAAATCTACATATGTACAATTTTAAAGATTAAGAACAGTTTATGCTCTGGTATTATCTTATTTTTTACATTACGTTATCATCACAGAACACAAAATTAAATTTGAATTTGCTATTCAACTGCAAAATTTACCAACATGGAGTATTCTCAGTTACAATATACAAAACCATGGAAGTCACCACAGAAGAGTTACGAGCACTTCAGGGTGCCCCAGACTGTGACTGTGACGCTGCATCGGCACTAACGGCCACTGTCAGCATCAGCAAAGCCCACACAAAGTAATCGAATCCAAAACGGGGGGAATATACAGGTTTAAACAGACAGCTGTTATACCTTTTTTGTTCCATAGCATTGTCACCTTGTCAGCTTTAAAGAAGCTTTTATTGGCTAGTGCAGACTGGGGGCCGCCGAAGTTGGGGTACTGGTAGAGCCTGACGAACGACGGCGCTCCTTTGCTGCCCGGGACGTACACGGCCACCTGAAACAGAGCCACGAGATTTCACTGCAGGGGATGCTCTTGGTACCACAGGGCCTAGTCACTGCTAGTACGCTGCACTAAAATTACAGTGAGTTTTTGAAGGAAACCAAGAAAAAAAAAATGGAAACAACATCAGAAGTACCTTGGTTGGCTGTGCTCCTGGAGATAACACAAAATCATTAACCTTTTGCAAATGCAGTTTATTTGCAATAGTATCTGCAAACAAAAGAAAAAGTCACAGGTGACATCACTGAGAAACCACATTAGCCTGGATTACTTCACTATACCTTTCCGTGTCTGTATCACCAATAGTAAAGAACAGTACATACAACCATACAGGATCTCTTTTACCGGGCAAATCTTTACTTTCCATTTCACCACACATTTTTATTTACAAAACCAACTTGAGCTGAGGCAAAGTATTGGAAGATCTAACAGCAAAATTATTTGGGAGATCTAAGGTTTGAAATGCAGCATTTAGTATTTGGAAGGTTTCACAGCACATAAGCTTCTGAAATTTGAAAACAAACAAAAAACACCACCCAAAAGAAGATGCCCGTGTAGAACACAATGAAACGTATAGAAAAACTTGCGTACTGAAGTTGTTGTTCTCAAAGAAGTGCACTTCATTGTTCATATTTCTGGCACAAATGCTCTCATCATCTGCCCAGCAAGGACACCTATATTTAAAGAAAAAAAAAAAAATAGAAACACTGAATGATGCCCATCTTTAGCAGTTTTTTAGCAGGAGGATTTTTTTTTCCTTCATTTTTACAGTCAAGCAAGTTCAAACATGATACATGTTCCAGACAAGTGACATCTGCATAGTAAAAAATACACAACTAGACTTAGTTACTGTCTCCCCAACTTTCTCTGTGGTGCAAAATGATAGCGAATTTACACTAAGAAACAATTACAACTACACACAAAGATACTTACAGGCAGACACTTGCTTTCGGCTAGCAGCAGGCAGTATTCTGAAGCCAACAGCACACTAAAAGCTCTATTTACCTGGATCAGATTTATGGAAACCATATTTCTTTGCAAACAGTTAGCATCTGGAAATGTTATTTACCAGTTCTGCATCTTTTTCTGGATGAAAGATTTTAAGCATTTTCCAGTTTTCACCTCATGAAGCTGTAGGTTGGGCACCCCCGCTGCGCCATCTTTAGCAGCTGCAACGAAACCATGGGTTAGAGTAGTGGGATTAAATCTGCTTCACCATGATGACATTCCACCTCACCATTCTACAAGCAACCAAACATGCATAAACTTCATACAAGAACCATCCTACCCACTGGGGGACTAAACCCCCGACTGCCAATTGCTCTACCTATTAACATACGTCTGTCCACAGTCCTTCGGTCCAGCGAAAGAACCAACATTTGGAAGCGTCGGGTTTCTACTCCCCATCACAAGGCTAGGGCTACCACTGCTAGCTCAGCTTTCTTAACGTGTGCTCTTTAACCCAAAAGCCACCCTCTTGGCACACCATGAAGGCACATTCCCCACTCCTACACTTTGTTCTCACAAGAACGCAGTGCGTTCGTCCGTCCCACTGCAGTCACAGCTCTACCTGCAAGCTGTACAAAATGGTTCTGCTGGGTTTAGGCTCTCTGTACCCTTCTACTCACTCCAGATAGCACAGCCTGCCTGTTTCTACCAACGATTCAGAGCAGAGCTCCTAACAGTTCTCTAGCAGCCACAGCTGGAATCAGTCCCATCCCTCGGGCTGCCTGGGCTCACCCTACAACCTGTCCCAGGCCACTCCCCACCGCCCAGCCTACGGCCAGCCCCTTCTCTCTAGGGAAGCATTTACACCATCTCCTTCAGGCACACAACTCATCTGAGACTGACAATATCTACATTAGGAAGATAAACTCCACAGAGAGGCAGAGGAGAGAATAAAGTCCCCTGGACAGTGCACAACACTCAAGTCAGCTATGCCCAGCGGAGGACACGACCGCTCTGAGACAGCTTACAATTCTCCTGGTCAACGCATGAACACAAACTGCTGGAACAGCACATTATTCAAACACACTCCTGGCACTAAGATCAGTTAGCAATTTTTAGAAACATGTGGTTTACTTAATAGAGTAATTCTTAGTACGTGCACTCTGATTTAGCATTTGTAAGAACTGTCGACACCAGATGCTTTCAGAAGATGGCATCCCTCCCTCCTCCACTATGCACTTGATTACCCGTATAATTTTCTGTACACTTTCTATACTGCTCATTTAAGCCGATAAGCTACAATGACAAATGAAGTAACAGAAAGGCTGCAAACCAAATTAAAACGTGCAGTTATCCCGTGTACTTTTACAGCTGGTAAAATACTCACTTGTATAGGCCTGCCACGTTGCCAGAACATTATTCTTTGGCGAGAATTCAAGGCAAACTGCCTTCGGAAGATCAAAGGAACGCAGTAACTCAGCACTGGTGACATTAACAATATTTACTCTGGAACAAAAAGATGCTATTTCAACAAAACATGCTTAGAATAGTTAATTAATAGCCAAGGTAACTTTTCACATATTTGACCCTTCTAGATCTGTCCCAAATTTGGTCAATGTAACAAAATCAGAAGAGCTTTTTTCTCCTCCTGCTCTTACTAAATTTTTGCAAGAGCACATTTTAAAATGAGATACCCAAGCACAACAGAAAGTGAAAGCACTGGTCAAAACATATCACCTATCTCTACCTGTGACATTTAAACTCTGAACCAGAGACAAGATACGCTCTACTCATGGGGAGTCCACCCACACTGCCACGGTGCTAAAGTTGAGCAATGGCCAATAGAAAGGTTCTAACGGAATTAAACCACACGTTTATCCACGTATTTTTAAAGGTCTTCTATGTATAAGGATACAACATTTAAGACGGGGGCTTGCTGAGGTTGGGGGATGCAGGGAGACATGCACAAGGAAAAGTAGAGGTCAGACGCCTGAACAAACCAGGTCAAGCAGCACCTCTGAACACAGAATCCAAAGAAACAGGAAAGATCATATCAGGATGTGTCCACATCACTGCTGTTCTCCCATGCTGCGTCAGGAGCCTGTCCCTCACCATCTCACTGACTGCCCCCTCAGAAATGAAGGGACACAGGCAGTCCCCAAAACAAAGAGGCACGGCAGGAATGGACAGGTTTGCCATTTGGAATATTCTCATTTAAGGTACCTGGATATACAACCTGCTGGTTGGAAAAACACTTTTCCCCACAAACACTTTCTGGAAATGGACCTTTCCAACTGATAAAAAATGAAGTTTTTGATGAAAATTTAGGAGTCTGAATATTTTTGAGAACCAGAAACAACAATGAAAGTAACGAATCCTACATCTAAATTACCCATTTTAAAAGAAATGGTTAAATGGTATTACTAAATACTTTTACAGATGTTTAACCTGTTAGCAAGATTACTGACACTTCAGAAGAGGCCTTGCCACCTCCTTACAGCAGCAACCCCCTGACACACCCTCATGTAAAGTGTGATCTCTAGTGAACTTTGTAATGCACCTGGTCTAGAAAAAACAGAAACCTTGTGATGTCTGTACAGAAGGTGCACAGGCTCTTCACTGTCTGTGAACTTTACTAATAGATTCACCCCAGAAAACCAGGTACTATCGTTCTGGGAACTATGAACAAAAAACAAATAAAGCATATCCAGAATCCAGAGGAATGGGTGAGAAAAACACTAAATATTCCATCTGATATTCAGAAAACAAAGCCACTACTGAGAATAATGTAAAAATAAACTGCATTTAAAGAGTGTATGCAAACACTGTGTTCATAGCAACTGCCTTTACACAGACAAGTAAATGGGGCAGAACTGATCCAGTTTATTTAATACAAAGTGATTTATATAATAAAAATGCACCAACTTTTCTCCATTGCACCAGGCAAAGAGGGAACCATCCTTGCTGAAAGCAACAGCCTTGCAGTTCTTTCCAGAGTCCCTAAAGAAGAAATACACATTAGTATTCAAACACACCGCATAAATTAAGGCATTTTTAACAAAAATCAAAAGCAACACACCATTTTTCCTGCTGTGCTCCCGAGCAGCACTTTGTAGCAGTGCAATCTACTCTGCAGTTGCTCAATGATTATTACCCGGGCAATGGGAAATCAGGCAAGCATAAAGCCTTCAAAACCATCAATTTTCTGAACTACTGGTAGAAAGAAAAAATTGACTCGTATTTATACATTTTTCAACTCTAAAGTCTACCTTTCCTTTTTAGAAAATTATTTCTTTTGTGCAAAAATATCAGAAACAGCAATAACAGCAGTACCTTCGAAAGGCTGCGCTCTCTGTGAAACTCGGCGGCCCGTTCACCATATAAAGCCCTTCAGATCCTCTCACTGGAAGGGAAGAAAAACAGCTACTCATTTCAAACTCAGAAAATCGTCCAAAGCAAAAGCTTTATCCCATTTGTGAGCCCTGAGACCTACACGTGCTTTTCCCCTGCTTGCATTTTAAACGTAAGAGACGGTTGTAAAGGAAATTCAGAGTGTAACACATGCCGAGACGCTTGGCTTCGTCCCGGGCGGCCGCAGGACTGACCCAGCGGACAGAGGCAGTGGAGGGGCAGAGCCGGCCCAAGCTGCGGCCCCAGAAGCTCCGACACACGAGGTGCTGGCAGCTGAGGCACCAGTTTGCCGAAGAGACACCGCAGGAACCAGCCAGCACTTTTTTGGGGCTGAGGACCAAAGCCTTCCCGCACCCATTGCCGCGTGACCCGCTCCCCACCTGAGCGGCCGCAGGCAGCGGGGCAGGGCGGGACAGAGCCAGGCCGGGCAGAGGGGCCGAGGTGGGGCAGCCCTGGAGCCCCCAGCCCTCCCCTGCGACCCCAGGCTGCAGGGCCATGCCCGGCCGGGGGGTGAGCGCCCCGAGGATGGGGATCCACAGGCCCTCTGGGCAGCCTGCGCCCGCCCCCAGCCCCCCAGGGAAACCGTTCTTATGTCCAAGCACAGTTTCCTGGACTTCAGCCGGAGCCCGCTGCCCCTTATCCCCACAAAACAGGCACCTGGCTTCACCTCACAGGGTGACCTCGAACTGCACAGGAGCTGCACCTGCGTGAGAAGAGGGGTGGGACAACTCCTCGGCCTCAAGCAGCCCATGGCCCTCGCTCCCAGGCCCCTGCCCGAGGCACGGCCATGAAGCCTGACTGGCTAAAGCTGGAAATTCTCCATCGCCGCAAGACCCACACAAGAGCCGGGCACAATGGAGCTGAAAAGGTTGCCGAGACGCTCCCCCAAGCGAGGATTAGCTGCCTAAACACAGGAACAGCGCTGCCAGAGAAAGATTATGTTGGACTGATTTTTTGCTGACATGAGGCAGGATTTGCCCTATTGTTAGTTTCAACATTGAAGTTCAACTTGGAAAGCGTAAGGCATGAAAGAAATATCAATATACAACGTGTTGTAAATCCCATTCTTTTCAGAGATGGTGCTGTGCTTACAGCAGTAGAAAACAAACAAGAAATAAAGACAGACTCATGCAAAATCATGCAGCTGGAACTGTTACACAGTGAACCTAGCAAAAGTTCTACTACAAGCATATTAGAATTCAAAGTTAAACCACAAAATGGGCAACTGTTACATAGGAATTAGCTGTGTTTCATGCATTTTCTTGGGACACGAAAGATGTCTACTGAGGTGACAATTTTTTACTGACAAGCAGGAGTCAAGAAAGCAACATCTGTACTGGCTTAAGCTACGGGTTCTGCAGTTGTATTACATCAAGGAGGTGTTGGGGCCAGCAGGGCTCTAACAGGGGGTCTGACAGCGGAACAGCAGCACCCGCTCAGCCGGGTCAGTCCGTACAGGAACACGTGACAGCATATGCCACCAAACACCCTTACACTGCTCTTCAGAGCTGCTCTTCTAGCTGCCAAGCACCCTTACTTCACTTCCCTCATAGCACTTCGGAATTTAACAAATAGAAAACGTTTCAAGCAACAGTTTATCAGTTTGGAGAAACATTATTTTGATAAGATTTCGAATCTCCACCTGCTCTATAGCCCTGTGCTTCACTGGGGGCACACCATGCCCCTAACACACCTCAGGGGTACGTTTTAACATCTTAAATGTGATCCACTAGCTCTGCACCCCTGCCTCGAGTCTATTCTTCAGTCCTCCGTCAGGGTCCCAAGAAAAACCAAGATCCAAATTTACAAGAGATTATAGACAGCAGCAAACAGTCCAAAACACGCCCTGAACAACTGCGGCCCGTTGATCCACCCAAACAAGGATCAATATGCTGGTATTTAAAGCTTAGAAACACAGAAAAGGAAAAAATACATATCCCTTATGTTATGGACGACTTAAAGTAGAAGAGAGAGGAAAAGGTTGAACTATTAAAAGAAACTCCGTAAAACGCAGTGAAGCTGCTTCAGAGAGCTATGACGAACTCCCGCGAGCAGCCACGCACTTTGCAGAGGCCCCGCCGGGCCGGACCCGCATCCTGCGGGTCTCGGGGCTACCGCCGCCGGCTCTGAGCCGCGGGGGAGCGGGGCCGGGCGAACGGGCCCGCCCGGATCTCACCCAGGCACCCCGTCGCCTCTCGCACAGCAGCTCCAG